TGCCTCTCCGCCCTAAGGCGCGCTCTTTCTCTCGCTCTTTCTCTCGCTCTCTCCCTCGCTCTTTCGACCGATGGGCCGTGCGAATAATTCAACAGCGTCGGCCGGCAGTGAAAGGCCAAGCACGCGGGGAGAAGGGAGAGTGTTGTTCTTTCGTTTTCCAGTATTTTTTTTCATTCCAAAAAACAAAAAACAAAAAAAAGGTAGAGCCGGCGTACGGCTTTCTTTGGCCCGCCCTAGGCCGCTGGTCTGTACGCGGCTGCTTTAGAGCCAACGTGCTGCCTGATGCCGCTGCTGCTCAGAGTTCTAAATCAGATGTTGTCCATCAAATTGGGGTACAAAAAATACAGGGCGGTCCGCATACTCCTTCCTTTATTTTGCTAATACTGTACCGGATGCAGGCGTGCAGCCGTGTTGCATACTCGCACGGGGCCTTAAGTGTGTGAATTTTGCACACATATAGGTGTGTGAACATTCATAGGCGTGAAGCATCGCAAGTGTGAATTTCAAAGGAAAAGTTACACAATTATGTAAATTGACGAGGAATGGGCATTCACATTGAACGTGTGAAATTCACACACACTTTGCGTTTTTAGTTTGTTAACTATTATTCGTATTGCGCAAAAGAGACTTTGCCTTCTTGTAGAGACAGTCTCTAAGGGGCTCTCTAAAAACGTACCAAAAGCAGTTCGGCTCGTTGAAACTCGTCGAGCGCTGTCGAGCGCCGTGCGGAGCGAGCAGAGAGCGCCGTGCTGGGTGGGCCGACCTGTCGCGCGCGCCTGCTGCGCGGGAGTGCCTACGCTGAAGGCGCTCTGGACCGGGCCCGGCCCGTGTCTGCCCACACGGCCCACACGCTGCGCACCGGCAGCCCCCCCTCCCCCTCCCCCCTCTCCCCTCCCCACCCTTAACGCTCCCTCTGGCTGCGCAATTAGTCTGGCAAAGCGTCGGCCCCGGGGGGACATCAAAGATGTCTCACTTTAGGGCCTCGACGACCGACGCGGGGACCGACGGGCCGACCAGGCGTTACGCGACGACGGCGCCGGACCCAGCCGAGCATCTTTACGGCCCGCTACGTCATCTCCTCCCCCCCTCCCCCCCTCTCTGCCCTCTCTCCAAATCTCTTTCCCTCCCCTCTCTCTTTTTACCCCCCACCTTCTCCCTTTCCTCCCTTCCTGCCATGTCGCTCGCACCACCGTCTCTCTGCTCCTGACCCGCCCTCGTTCGCGCCGGTTTGCTATATTGCTTGTGGTTGAGTCCCCCCCACTACCCCCCACTAAGCCCCCACCCCCCTTCCTCTCCACCCCTCTCCGACCACAATCAGTCCCCCCGATCTACCAGTTAAATCGAGGGCGCGCGAGAGCTGCTTCAACTACTCGGTGTCAACTCGTAAAACTTGCAAATAGACCGACTCATCTCCTTGGCGTCACGCCTGCTCACAGTTCCCCCCACCCGTCCTTCCCGACCCCGCCAAGCCTTGCCTCGCCCCGCAAGACCGCACCCGAGCGCCGGGTCGTCGCCGTCGTCGTCGCTCTTTACACTTTCTCCGTGAATTATTTGTTTTCAGAAGTTTCTCTGACACTGGAATAACTAACGTACCGACTACATAGGCTCCGCGCCAGCAGGTCTTGCCTTTGGCTTTGCCGAAGGTTCTCGTCGCCCTCTCCGCCGGCCTGAGCTTGCTCTTCTCTGAACTTTTAGTTATCGGCCGGGCAGGGCAGAGGGAGCGGGGGTTGACGGAGGAGGACTGGGGAGGGGGCTTAGAGGCCTGACCTGGGTGCCCCAGTTGAGTCGCGCGTGCGGCCACCCTCTAGTCAGTCGAGGATTTGGACCTGCCCACAAAAAAAAAAAAAAGAAAAAAAGAAAAAAAAATGGAAGAAAAAGACACTGGAAAATATCCTCGTAAATTCTTTCTTGTTGATGAATCACAAGTCATTACGAAGTGCTTGTCAATTTACAATTTTTAAACTGTAATTTTACAACACACATCATGGAAGGAAAATTTTCCCCAAACTCTGGAGAGTTTTGCTCACAGTGAATTACAATTAACATTACCTGTCTACCTGGGAGAGGTGCTCTTCGTATTGCCTTTGGGGGATGAGATGAATCAAGTTAGTTGCGTCGTGCTTTTGAGAGGGAGGGAGAGGCATGGGATCCGAATATTATTGGGGTGTATAGAAAGGCTTTATTGGAAAGGGCGGTCGCGTGGAGTTTGGGAACAATCTGTCGACCCTCGGTCAAATATTAATTTTGTTACATAATTGAATTAATTGAAATAGGCAGAAATGTGCGCCCGACCGCGTGCTGAGAATGAGGTCGGGCTGAAACTTGTTGGACAACGGTGGCTCGAAATATATATATACACACACAACAGTGCACGGAAAAAAGTACTTGGTCTCCCAACTGACGCGTCGCTATGGTAGCAAGTGCTACTGTTTTGATTACTAATAGGGTTTTTTCTTACAACAAACCAAACACATCCGTTATCCTAGCGACGGTTTAAGTTGTGGTAGCAGAATTTAGGTTCCCATAGCAATTTGTTTGCTCCTGAACTTAAAAATAATGTACACATGTTCACAAAACCGTTAGTTGTGGGAACAAGTTATTTTCCGTGTGGATTTTGGGAGAGTGCACGACGCACAAACGCCTCTGTCAAAGTTCCATACACCCCTCGGGTTCAGTCAGTTGAAAGTCTTAGGCTTAGCCGATAAAGAGAGATTTTTTTTTTACAGTATTTCAGAGAAGAATGTGAGGAGAGGAAAAATAATGGTGAAGCAAAGGAGCACCAAAATAGGACGAGGCAGATATGGGGCGCGCAGGCCCTGGTCTGGTAGCCGCCGACGTCAAGATGGTGAGGGGCGGGGT